ATTATCATTATTAGGCATTCGAGCATTTGATTCATTTGTTAGTATCTTATTCTCCTGTCTAAAGAGCAGAATTCGAATCTCTCTTTTCTTAATTATATAAAAAAAATTATCATTATTAGGCTTTGGGGATAAATTTTATTAATTGCCCCTCATGTAGCAACCAGCGATTAAGTTTATTTTGATTTTGTGGAAAATAATTGTGAGTTTTTCGAGTACTATATATACATTCTAGCCAAGTAATAATTAGAAGGTCAACCAAATCCTTGAAATGGGTAATCTAAGCAGTGGTTTTTTCTTTTTTTGTTTAGATAATTTACTATTTTCGATAACAATTTTATCCCTTTATGGGATTTCGAATGATTGGCAATTGGCCGAATGATTATAAATTGCAAATTACTCAAAATATTACTAAGTATTTGATTCGGTCAAATTTTGTTGTTTCTACTTCAAATAAAGTTTTCTGTTTTACTATTAAAAAATATCTACAAACGCTGAGTGCAAGGGACATGGGTTTCGGCCCACTGATACAAAATTCAGATAGCTTGATTAAAAATAATAATAAATTTTAATTTAAAAAATAAAACAAATAATTTTGAACATGACACAAGAAGACATGAATTTAAATAAGTTTAAGTTTAATTTTAGTGTGTTTCATATCTTAATCGTGTCAATATAGTTAAAACACGAAACTTTCGTATCTCAATCGTGTCAAACACGAGTAACACGTTTAAACACATTTTAATTAATTGTGCTAATCGTGTTATCATCTTTAAATGTATATACATAACACATTTATCAATCCATTAAAATTAATAGTCAAATACTATTTTTACTTTACTTAAATAATTTTAAACAATTATTTTTAAAAAGTTTGAATTTCATAAGGATAATAATATAATAACACCCAAACCCTAGTTTCCAAAGGTAATGTTTTAAACTAAATTTTAAATTTTATTTGATTTTTTTATTTTGATTCAATGTTAATAATATTGTTTCCATTTGTAATACCGGAATGATGTGACATTGACGAGCAAGTTTTCAATTTTAGTTTGGATGTTTAGAATTGTTAATGGTTGATGATGTGGTTTGTAATAGGTATTTAATTATAGTTGAAAATTATTGATGATTTTAGATGTTATTAGTATTTTTAAGGTTATATGTTAATAATGGATTTTATTAATATAATAATAAATTTTATGTATCTTATTTATATTAAATTTTATTATATTTGATATTATTATTATTTTGTTATAATTATTTTTATAATTATTGATTTTAAAATTGAATAATAAAATAATATTTAATTATAAATATTTTAATTTAACCGTGTTAAACAAGTTAAATGTGTTAATCTTGTTTTTTAAAAAATTATGTTTAATAGTATTTACTAATTATTTCGTGTCATATAAAAAATCTAAACACGATTAATAAACGTATTAATCGTGTCGTGCTATACGGTTATTAAACATATTTGTATATATATTTTTATATATTCCTATGAATAATTATTCGTATTATGTTTAATTTTAATTTTATCATGTTTCATGTTAATATGATTAAGACACGAAAATATGAATTACTAAATCTATTAAAAAAATACCATTTGCACTATAAGATATTACATTAGGGCAAAGCTGTAAACATCTAAAATGACTTCCTCAAGCTTTCTCAGAATTCACAAAGGAGAGAAAGTTAAAAGGAAAAAGGTTACTGCTAATTAGTGGACAAAGAATAAAATATATGTTGCAATACTTTAATCTCCAAAGTATTGTTCTGCCTACCTAGAAAAAACAAAATTAAAGCAAATGACATATTGACCACTCATTGGCATTATAATATTAATTTAAAGACATACCAAAATTTTTGTACAACTTTTAATCTAATACAGCTAAGCTATCAGCAACCAAAAGATTAGGTTTCCTTTTTAAATTTTAGTTTTTCTATGACTAGCCTCCTGTCCATCTCTCATTTAACTTGAAATCTATATTTAAGGTTACCATTAAAAAACCAGAGTTGTCAGAATTAAAAAAATACAACAGACAATTATGGTTTTTGCTATAAAAGGATGGGTCAGCTGCTAAAAAATTTGCAAAAAGGTTTGCCCATTTTCCCTTCATTGCAGAGTCCAACTCCTTAATTTGGACCAGAAAATTGGTGCAGCAAGCCAACAAAAGTTAAAAAGGGGTCCTCCCAAACTTGGATTATTTGAAAGAAATAAATAATATAAAACAAGTTAGAGATATAAAAAGACAAAAAAAAAAAGTGGTCGTAAAAGGGTGTAGATTTTGTTTTTTCTTTTTTTTAAAATAGTAATGATTTTTTTGTACAAAGAACGAGAAAAGTTTGACACAATGTTTAATGTTTGAAAAAAATTATTAATTATTTAAAAACTTGTAAATAAATTTTTATTTTTTATTTTATATAATTAAATTTTTATATTTTTATTTTAAATTAATAATATTTTATAATTAATTATTAATTAATTATTATTAATCAAATATCTATTTTATTTTTATACGATAATTTATGTAAAATGTAAAAATATTATATAATAATATCATCATATCATACGATATCAATATATCATATTGATATTTATTTTATTCTTATATGACAGTTTACATCAAAAGTAAAAATGTTATATAATAATATTATCTTGTCATATTAATATGTTATATTGTTATTTATTATCCTATGTTAGTGTCACGTTAATATTACATAATATAAAATAATAAATAATATTTTAATTAATTATTAATTATAAAATTTTATTTAATTTAAAATAAAATTATAAAATTTAAATAAAAGTAATAAATAAATAAAAATATAATTAATTTTTTTTAAATAATTCAAAAAATTTGTAAGTAGTGTGCCAACAACTTGAACCCAACAGTTATTGAGCTCCTTAAAAAATTTGAGGAAATTTAATGGGTTGGAATCTTGATACTTTAGCCCAACGGTTATTAGCTCTGCCCTTTGTACCTCCTATGTACTAAAAAATATAGACTTGCATGAAAACTGAAGCTCATTGGTAAGTGGCGTGTAGTTCCATTACACTTGTACGCTTCCATCTGCCGTCTCTCTTTCTCTCTCTCTTCTTTGCTTGAAATTGTACCGACATGGCTCCTAACAAATGGGGTTTCTCTGCCTCTTTCTTGAACTAAGAAACTAGAACCTGCCCTCTTCTATTCTACTGTTATGTGAGTACTTCAGTTTTCTTTTCTCTTTCAAGGTTCTGGTTATCATCAGAATCTCTCCTTGTCTTTCTTCTTCTTCTTTTGTTCAGTTTGTGATGATCTCTTCTTGTTGCATCTGCTAGTTTTATCTTTTTTACACTTTTCTGCATCAGGGTTTCTGGTTTCTTTCCTTTTTACCCAATTCATCTTTGTTGTCAGCCATGGGGTTTTGGTCCCTTATATAGGATTTTTTTGGGCTTATGTTTATGTACGGAAAATCCAAGGGGGTGTTTTCGAAAGAGCGATGTTTGATACGGGGAGAACTTGGTAGCTATATATAGTTTCCGCCCTTTTTTCCTTGATAGTTTTAGTTTCTTAATCAAGGCTTGATTTTGTTTAAGGTTTCCCCTGTCATTTTTGTTACTTGGGATACTGAGGAGATCAGTCAGTCATGGTGGAGCCTATTTCTGTAAAACCTTATTGCAGTTGTTTGATAGGATTTTTCCTTATTTTTTTCATTTTTTTCCCATAAATTTAGCAAACTTTGGTGATGTACTTTTAATTACATATATTTTATGTTGCAGGAACTAGTTAAATAATTGAAATATAGTTAATTTCAAGGGAGGTGTGGCGCCATTGCTGGGATCAGTTTGAGAGGTAAGAATGGCCATGCAAACTCTGTATCTTAAAGAACATGATGGGATTGTACATAATCCCATGGGGCAGTTGGCATCAGTACCAACGCTGCCTTGGTGGAGTGCTTTAGGATCTCAATCCGTTTATGGGGAATCTTGTGGCCAATCCAAGACTTTGTTGATGGAACATCCCTCTAGTGGAGACCAACTCACTTCTACTAAACAAGCTGGGAGGGCTACCGAACAACAACTGAATAAAGCAAATCCTACTCAGTTCACTATATTCCCTGGTAATCTCATCTGTATCTTTTAGGTTTCCCACTTAAAATCTACTGGTATTTTCCATTATTAAATCTGCTGTAGCCAAATATTTATATGCCTTTGGATATGGAACATCATTTTGTTAGACAAAGCTCTTCATTTTTTATATTTCTCTTCTCCTCTCTTCTCTTGGGAGCACTTCCTGAGCTTTGGCCTAAGCAAGGAAAGAGTGAACAAGGTACCTGGATGGTTCTTAGATTTGAAGATTGTCTAAACATTGCGTTATGAAGATTAATTATTTCCAGCATTTTATCAACAATTTGGTTGGAGATAAGATTGTGGCAATCAGAGTAAAATATACGGCTTACAAAGTTATTGGTGATATAGAAATTCAAGGAATTAGGATGAAAAACGTAATTTTGAACTTAGAAGTGTCAATCAAAGCAAGAGAGGTTGTAGTAGCACGGTTGGACCCCCCTCCCCCCTGCCATATTGGAAATAGATCTACGATTCTTAAGGATAAAGAAATTTATTTGGAAATAGATCTACAATTCTTTTACTTTTGGACGTGTGAATGCCCCTTTTGTCATATTGGATAAAGCAATTAGAAGTTGTACTGATGCTGTAGCATATTGGAAACCTTAAGGAGAAGGCAACCTAAAGCATCTTTAAGTGAGTTCATAAAATTCACTTCTTCACTTTGAAAAGCTTTCCAACTAATTTTGTTTGTTTAAATTTGCTTCATGAACTAGTTAATACTGACACTTAAAGGTGCTACCTAAATTGACTCATGCAAGGTCAAAACAGAAGGATCTGTTTGCTATCTATGAGAGAATTTCTACCAATGTTCTTCAAATCCCACTTTTCGCACAAATGAGGTGCTAATAATGAACACTCCAGGTTCTGTTAAGATTCATCAAATTTTGCAAGTTATAGCTTAGACAGAAAATGGCTAAAGGCAAGATAATATTTTGGGTGAAGAAGAATAATAGAACTTTTTTGATGAAATGCTCTGGATGGTGAATAAAATAAAATAAGAATCAAGGTTGGATGCCTGCAATTTGTGATGACACTATAGGATTCATGGTTGCTTGAGTCTCCTAAAAGGAAAGATGTCAGGTTTTTCCCCATTGAAGACAAAAGTTATTAGAACTTCAAGCACTTGATAACAATTAGCTTTTGCTGAGGATATTCTTTGAATTTGATGCTATGCAGCATAGTTGGGGTATGTAGCCTGTAAAAGTTTTTGTGCATGGTGATGAGCGTAATTTAATTGAGATGTTTCATCATGCCCTCTACCAGGAAAACGCTAGTACTTGCTCAAAGAATAGAGCACTTTAAGCTCAAGCTTTCGACTGCTGCATGCCACATGGATTGTTATTGAACTTGAATATTTGAGTTTCTTTACCTTCCATCACTTTAGAATTCATTGAAGAACAAGATGATTATATAATAACAGTGCGTTTTTTCTAGACTGCTAGTCAGGATCAATGTTGGCTCTAGTTCTCTCCCCATTTGCCCTTATTATCTGATGGAGTCCACTGAAAGTAATAATTATAGGCCCCTTATATCCCCTCTTTCTGCAACTTGCTTGAGAATTTTTTTTTCGTCTTTTTCATCCAATGCAGCCTATTTAATGATCTACAATTTTTATGTTTTACTTAACACTGTAGCTTATGTTGGCTAATTTATGTGGTAGAGATGGGCAAAAACTACTGACACATAGTTGTAAGGTGCTGATGCTTTTGTCTTTACACAAATTATTAATGCACTGACTATTACTAACCAGCCAAGTGGTTTTCATTCAGGTGATTTCAAAAATTCAGGGGATGGACATAAACCTCAGGCAGTCATCTCTCTGCAATCAGCTCCTTCTGAACATCATGCTCGCTTTGAACTAGGATTTCGTCAGCCCATGGTAATATTCCTTAGAAACTTCCTTCCATTAACTGATTCACTTCTTTGCTACTTCAGTTAAATCTTTTTGCTCCTTGCGTCCAACTGTAGGTCTGTGCAAAATACCCCTACGTGGATCAATGCTATGGAGTTTTCTCAACTTATGGACCTCAAATTTCGGTTTGTCTTCTATTATTCCTCTAGCTAGCAACTTCTCTTGATTTATACTGTCTCAATTATATTATGAGGTAAAATATTGTTGTTCCATGTATTTTACTTGATTGTACTGGAGATATCTGATTCGTGCTGAACTATCTAAATAGTCATATAACATACAGAGACTGTTTTGGGTTATCTTTTCCTTTTTGGTTTGAAGTATTGTAATTTGCAACAAGGAGCTTAAAGTCGAAAATGTTTTGAATTAAATCTTTCTTTAGTTTTCCCATTCAGTTGCATTTCCTTCTATCCAGAATTTTCCAATCTTGCTATTGAATTTTCTTTTACAAGGCCAGCCAAGCATGTGAAAATTTTACCTTTTAGTCATTTTTTGCTTCCAGTTATATTTGTTGATCATATTACAATAATTATCAAATCTGAAGCTTGCCCTTCCCTTATTTCCTTACTGGGTGTGCCTAAAGATTATGGACTTAAGTTTAAGTTTGGATACTCTATGGTTGAGAGAGCTCAAAATCATCTACCAGTTTGATTTTTGGTGAACCTAATGGGAATATACATTTAAGCCAATGAGGGGCCAGTTGAAAGATGATTTCTGCAAAAAAGTGTTAAGGTGTGCAACAAATTTTAATCCGATAATACATGCGCATCCACATATAAAAAATATGTAGCTTTTACTTGCTCATACCGCACAGGAAGGAAGCATGATAAACCCCCAAATTACATATTGCACAAGTGAAAATTTAGATATAAAAGCTTGGAAAACGCAGGCTTTCTTGTTGGATCTTCACATATTCTCCTTCATGACTGTGTTTCCCGGTGGAGGTGTTCTTTATCTAAAAATATTTGAAATGCTATCTTGTCCGGTGCTTGGAATGCAGACTTTATCCTCTCCTTCACGTAACACCTTACCTGATTCATGTAATTCCTAATGATTTAGGGTCGTGTTATGCTGCCATTGAATATGGCAACAGAGGACGGACCAATATATGTAAATGCCAAGCAGTACAATGGAATCATTAGGCGTCGGCAGTCTCGTGCAAAGGCTGTACTTGAGAATAAAGTGACCAAAGCAAGGAAGGTATGATCTCTTTTTTGGGTACCCAATTCACTATTTCTTTTAATTGTGAAAGTTTGGCCAAAGCTTTTATGGAGACAAGCTAGAAGCAAATTTTTGTTTTTCTCAACACTTGCTTCTTGCCTTGATCATATGCTATGTAATTTAGGCAAAAATGATTTACCCTCATGGATATAAGCCTCTTGAATTAACCACCTCACTCAACCCAGATGTAGGAATTTCTAGGTTTGCAAAAGATTGATCCAAATGAGTTGGGCTAGAAATCTTTCATTGGATAATTTTCGCATGTCAAATGGTTTTGGTTTGATAGATCTTGTCAGTTGCCATTAATCTTGGGGAGGATATCCTTTTTTTAGTTTGACTCGAAGCTTTGATATCGGTGATATTTCCAGTAATATGCATGATATGATTCCGGCCTGAGAAAGTGAATATTTAAGATTCCTTATGTAGAGCTGAGGTTAGTATTGTTAGTCAATATTAATGTGGAAAAGGATACCTAGTTAAAAAATTTCAAAACTCAATTTACCCAACAAAAATTTACTAATCATTAATGTGGAACTATATATGCTAGAACCAGATAGCTAGGTATCTCAGTCATAGTTGTTACTTTTTTTGGGCTAAGACTTAGCTAATTTGAATTCATAGATGTTATCTTCAGTATCCCATAATTAATGTATCCATGATGTTCATGGGTTTTTTGTTTAAATCTTAATCTAGTTCAATGTTTGAATGAATTCAGTTTCTCTTCTCCAAAGTTATGATCTTGTTCATTGAACTAGATGAAAAACTAAACAAAGTCTTAATTTGAAAGCCATAAAAATCATGAATGTGTGCGGTATATTGAAATTATTAAAGCTATTGGGCATTATTTCAATCAAGACCACTATCAGATGTCTTTCATTGTTAGATGATTCTTCACTTGAAAATTTAAATATCTTCTTCTGCCACAAATATTTAGGTTCTGCTTTTGTTCCACAGCCATATATGCACTACTCACGCCATCTGCATGCAATGCGCCGGCCAAGGGGATGTGGCGGCCGTTTCTTGAACACAAAAAGTTCAAACAGTGGCAAAGATGGAATTAAGATGAGCAAAGCTGCTCAAGGAAAACTTTCGCACTCTGCAGTTTCACAAAATTCTGAAGTCTTGCAATCTGACAGTGGAACCTTGAACTCGTCCAAGGAAGCAAATGGAGGAGGCTCAACTCTTTCAGGGTCAGAGGTGACCAGCATGTATTCCAGGGTAGATCTTGAACACTTCCCAATCAATCATCTTGGACTGTCTGTCCACACTCTCCCACGCATGGTGGACAATGGGCGTGGTACTGTTATGCCCAGCAAGTGGGTTGCAACAGGAGATAACTGTTGCAACCTTAAAGTTTGATACCGAGGGGATTAGTGGGATTGGTGCTAAGTTCGTTGCACCTGCCCACTTTCCCTGGAGCAACCAAATGGAGGAACTTTGTTGCATCAGCTGTTGTGGTTTTTGCAACAGGTTTTGGTTCCCTGGATAGTCCAGCCGCCATTTGGTTATTTAGGCAAATCATTCTTGGCTCATCTTATCTAAAGCTCTTCCTTACAACTCCGCGCAGAACTGCTGTCTTGGGGTGGTGGATGATGCTCAAACCTTAATATAAGAAATGGATCAGACTATAAATGGGGTGTTTCCACTGATCCGGTAGAACTTGAATGTTTGATTATGTGCTTGTAATCCTAAATTTGTAGAATTGTGGTGTTCCTGAAGTATGCTATCTACTGTTTGTCATGCTTGAGAAATAATATATTGTAGAATATTATGCTTGTGTTTTTATGTGTTATTCCGTTTGATTTCATTCTCAATCTGTTATGGAGTTACACCCCTGATGGGAGTATATACGCAAAATTTTCCACTTTAGTTCCTTACTTGATGATGAAACAAATTAAATTGAAAACCGGGCAGTTCCTGATTACACCATGTGATGTGCCTTAGCATGCCACAGAATGGTGTCATCTACTGCAATTAGGATTCTGGAGAAATAGCTTTCCTAAATCTTCTTCATTCTTTATTTTTCAAATTTTGACTCTGTTTTTCACTTGTTTTCTCTAGATGTATAATTGTCTGTACTATAGAGGAATTTTGGTTGCAAACATCGAAGATTCGAACCTTGTTTTCTCCTGATTATCCTTGCTTTTCTAGCTGTACGTGTCATGGGCGAGCATAGGACCAAAACTGGCCGAAATTTCAAAATAATTTTCTACTAATATCTTAGAACCTTCAAAAGTGCAATTCTTACTCTTCACGCTGCTTAAGAAAACGAAAACATGATCTCTCTTGTCTCATAATCTTTCTTCTGATATAAACTAGTTCGACAAAAAGGAAGGTAGCTGGTCATATGCTTTGCTTGGATGTCCAAATTGTTTTTTTCTTTGTTTTATAATAAGTAGATATGAACCAGAATCAAAGACACAAAGAGAGCAAGCCAAACATGAGAAACACTCGAAACAAAACCTTTGCCATCCTCATCTTGCTGCTGTTTAGCATGTCAAGATACTCTGTCTTGGGAAAAATTCTAGTTAGGGTCATGAACCAGCTGGGAAATCACAGGACTCTGAACATACACTGCCAGTCCCGTGACAATGATCTTGGCTATGTTGCCCTTCCAGATGGCTCTCAATTCGAGTGGAAATTTTCTGTTAATTTCTGGGGCACCACGCTGTTTTATTGTAACGTGCAATGGGATCAGTCAGGATGGCACCGTTTTGATGCCTACGCATACGAATGGGACTCTGGCCGATGTCAAACAGAATGTATCTGGAAGATCTCAAAGGATGGTCTCTTACTCAATTATAATCAAGAATTTCAAACCTGGGATCTCGTTCCTTTCAAAACATAGGTAACTGATATTCCATGAAATTTTTTTGTTACTTTGAAGCGGCAGCACATCAGAATTGTAGTATGAGATGCAGAAACAGCAAATGGTTTGGCTCAATGAATAATTTGACATATTGAAAAAACTATTATAGGACTGAATTGGTTGCAGCCTCTACACCCTAATTACTCTAGCAACCGAATCATTATGCTGCCGCTTTTGACATGGAAAGATATTCTATCCACAAATGATTAGCACCTGCCCATGCCATACCATCTTCCTTAAGAGTTGTACTAGTTACTATGATTTTGTGATTATGGTCCATACACCATAATCCCTCAAATTTAACTGCTTTCATCAATAATAACATATCTCACATTTTAATACAAAAATTTATCTCCATAATATATTTTTTTTTCTAAAAAAAATAAATCTATTTACAATAAAATAAATTTTAAAAATTACATCTAAGAAGCACCAATGATAAGTTTATACATGCTTTGCTCAAAGAATTAGGTTTTTAAATTCTCCTTCTCTCATTAAAAAAAAAAGATGAAAGTGAAATTCTAAAAGAAAAAGCTAAAAAGAAAAACCATTATAGACTTCACATTTTATTAGTTTCAATTCAAGCAATAAATATGAGGCAACTAGAAATTTTTTTTTTTAAAGGTAAAGTGAAATTTTATTTATCATGGGAATAAGGAACTTCTCTAAATCTGAAACAACATCAAGACCAGGACCCAAGCACAGGATATTGGTAGGTATGCCTCTTATAACTCGATATACCCTCCAATAAACTTTAAAAAAGACCCAACACAAAATCAGCCACCCAAGACGGAAGTTAAAACACCTATCAAGCAAAATAAATGGCCTTCACCTACACTAAAACTTTGTAGGATGGCGAATGTTAGAACATCAAACTGAAAAACTTAGAAATTGACTTCAATGCGTGTATCAATGCCACTTTCCTTAAAGTTTTATTCGCCTCATCTTGTAGTGTGCAAAAGAGTTATCGGCGTATAAACCTCAAAGATATAATGAAGCCTAGTGATTGATGGCTTTTTGCACTGACAAAATCAATCCACTGAGCACTCATCGGAGTATAACAAGATTATCAAACTTCTATAATATTTTTTATGTAGGAAAATAGTATAGAAGAAAACTTGGAGGATGTTTGAGGAAGAAGAAGGAGAGATATTACTGTTTTTCTGATGTACGTTGAATAAAGAGAGTCTTCTTTTATAGGTATAGATGCATGTTCTCAACAGACACTGTTTGTGTCTATTTCAAAGAGTTGCTCCTATTGGTTTTTTCCAACAGACGTGACTCTTTTTTTATTTATTTTATTTTATTTTATTTTATTTTTCAACAGACATAACCTTTATTTTGGTTTTAATTTCTAACAATCACAATTTTCCTTTTATTTTGATATGAAATCATATCTTTTATTTGAAAATGTCCAACAATCCCCCACCATTTTCAAATTAATCCAAATTTTGCAATAATCTTAGAAATCAATTGCATAAATGAAGGTGTCTTCCGATTGAACTTTCACTTAATGAAAACATATTAAAGTTAATCGAAATTGTATGGTAGACTATACTTTGAAACAACTACTCCATTTGGTTAACCGAACACATCTCACACAACGATTTCAACACCAATGAATGCACAGTATCTGGCAACACTTTTATGGCCATGCGTCTATATCCTCTTTTCATGAGTGATATTAGAGCCAAGCTCTTGAACTCCTAGAAGCGGTCATACTTCACACTCACATAGGTAGATCCCATGAATGCCCCCATAACTAA